GTGTTCATGTGGCTTACCAAGAAACCCTGTAGAAGTCTTAAAAATGAGAGATGGTCTTGTCATAGTTCATATAGTGAAGTGGAAATTAAGGGCATGGAGGTTGGGGTGCAGTCCAATATTCACTGACCTTTTAGATCTGATTTCCTCTTCAGCTGCTCATGAGAGAAATGTCTGCGTCTTTATGTGATGGAATTCTTAACCAGCTGCCAGTTTGATTCAGCTGTTTTGTAGAAACAGCTTGTGGGGTTTCATTAGATAAGATACTCAACTATTAAGTCTACATGTGGGACTAAAAGTGAAAAGAACGCACCGGCATTGTCTAAAAGCCGAGCAGTGGGTGGCTATGGGCTATTGACTTTTTGTCATGTCATAGCATGAACAGCACAGGTGTTACTGACCATTCACTTTTCCACAAGCATCTGAAAGAACCCACACGCTTCAATCAAGCTGTCTACACTCACGCTATCCGCACGTTAACGAGAGCCAAAGTGTATTTTTGCCCTTCAAGTCTATTTTCATTTACACATCTAACTACAGTGATTGTGTGTTGGGCTCTGAGCGCTGCCAAAACACAGGTGACCTACACTCAATAGTGTGCCTGAACTCATCCTATGTAGACCCAGATGGCAGCAAAGCTAAGCCAAAATTGGCTACGTTGTCACTGCTCATGCTAACTTGTTGCTCACGCTAACAGGATGCTGTGTAGACGCGGTGTAAGCCACACCTATGTTAAGGTTTATCAGTTTTAGCTCGATAGCAATTTAAGGTAACGTTAAAAGCAGGTGTTACACTAATCACATTAACTATTTATGTGTCCCAGTACACATGCCGAATACCAGGGCCCTGAAGCTGAAGCAGCTAAATGGAATCCAACATTCATTAAGTTTATTATTTACACCTGTGCTTTTCCTGCTGTGAGATGTCACAATGTCTTCTGTGACAGTGTAGGACCTAAGGTTCAGAAACCTGTGTTGTTTTTTCTTTCTCATCTATTTAACATAAAGAGGTCAGTGATAAATGTCTGGGGGAAAAAGGTTTACATCAGTAAAATTACACGAGAAGCTTATCTTAAGACACCCAGGCATATGGACCAAGCATTTGGAATGACAAACGTGTCAGCAAAATATCTGCTGACGCTTGTAAATGAGATTCATTCAGTGTGTTAACACGTGTAATTGGGTTTTCCTTCTGTCTCAAAGGAATAGTTCAGATGTTTGACACAAGGTGCCCCTAATATTGATGCATGCACGCACTCTAAAGATCCTGTGGACATAGATGTTTCAACATCTGACTGCCACTAAAACATTTAACCCTTTTCTTGGCCAGATGCTCAAAAATGACCTTAACTGAACACATCATCAGACATTTTTAACGAAATACTGACTGTTGCAGGGATATCTTTCCTCCTCTGTGAGGCTCCATTTAATCTTTTAGGACCCAGCTGAGAAGCGCCCCCAACCAACAATTAATGCTTAGTCAAAATTGCCTGGCTCTAGCCACTGTCATGCCAGCGGCATGCTGTGGAAAAATTAGAATGTCAGATTTGCCTCATTAGAATGAAAAATATTAACACTGGTCCTCGCCAATAGTATTACAAATGGAATCAAGGAACTACAACAACATACTGGGTATAAACAAATACCCACGATTGAAGCTATACTAGTCAGCATACATCACATGCTAACCACTGAAGTACTAGCTCAGCTAAATATATCCTTAAACTGGCTTTTCAATGTTGGGCTGAAATCCATTTTGCGGCGGGCTGGTTTGTGGGAATGTAGCGCCGGGAGGTCATGGTAAGATAGCATTGCCGTTTCTCCTAAGATTTGCCAGCACTCACCATCTGTTTCATTAATGCCTGCGGTGGTTGTTTTGATGGCAGTTCACTCACCCTTGGGCTGGATGCTGTTTCAAGGTAAACGGCTCATCAGAATGAGTGACAGGTGTTGTCGAGCGGACTTGAACGACTGCAGGAGGCGGAACTGGCAACGAGGTGAAATGTTTAATCCCGTAGCTTCAACCAAACACCAAGGTAAACACGAAATGAAAGACCTCTTCTTGTCTTTTTTTAAAACGGTATACTGCATTTTAAAACCAAATGAATAACAAATGATTTGAAATATGAATGAAAGCACAGTCACAGACAGTGATCAGTGTTTCCTTTAACAGTATGACACTGAGCAAATGTTCTTTTAGGTCTTTAGGGACTTGACTAATACATTTGCATATAAATGGGTGCCTGAGAAAAAAAAGCACTGTAAGCAACCGAGAGAATCATAAACCATCTGAATCTTTTTACAGGTCAACAACTTCTGACGGAAAACAAACTTGCAGAATTGCCGGCGATTGAAATGCTAAATCTCGAGAAACACGTTTAAAATATTTAAGCGCCTCTCCATAATTCACATTCAGCGCTACACGGGGCCTCCAGCAAACCGGCTCTCATCTCCGACACCTGGGTTCCCTGTTGGGTCGACCGAAAGTTGCTGGCAGTCCTGCAGAGTGACCTGATTATTAGGATGATCATACTGTAGCTGCGAGTCACAGGCTTGATCCTCCACCGAGTTCACACTCCACAGCTGTTGTTAATCCTCGCCCGAACTGTGCACGAGCAAGATAGTGAGACCTTTCCCCCGTTACAGCGGCGCCTGTGCTCTGCAGTCAGATCTCCTCTCATAAAATGCATCCATGCGTGTCTGAGGGCTATATGTGAGGAAAGCGTCTCGTAAATACGCTGGCTGTAATTTGGTGATTGAGTGCACGAGAGAAAAAAAAGATAAGTTGCACAAGTGTTTTGACTGAGGAACGGATAATTGCAACCGCTCAGCGAAAATAGTTCAAGGATGTCAAATGTTGCCGAGAGCTTTACAAGTCCTTGCAAAAATCTGTGTACGTATTGCATATTTAGTAGGAATTGGATGAGTCTCGAGCTCTGCATAATGGTTCCCTGACCTCTCTGTGCTTTGCTCATGTGCACAGCATCTACATTTTCAAATTAAAAGCCTTCGTGATCATGCGAACTGGCCACTGTTTGGAAGATGCACAGTGCTTTATGTGACAGCGTCACGGAGGAGCATTAAATACACGCAGTGCAGCGGTATCACTTTTCCTCCGCTCAGTCTAAAAAAAAAAAGTCCCTGCCACTTATTTGTTTTTAGACAGTGGTTTTTCTAAATCTACAATCAGTTACCCTCCGGACAAGGGAATCGATACTTGATGAGCATTCATTTTCTGTGCTGGTTTGTTCTCCTCGTGCTTTAACATGTCTTCCATGAAAAATACATTTGTTTCCCAGGCCCTGTTGCCATCCCAGACCGCCGAAGGTCGAGCCGTGAATTTACTGCAGCCGTTTGTCTTGCTCGCTTGGCACGCGCCTCTTCTGTCTGTGTTAATGTGGTGAGTGTGTAGGTGCATCCAGCAGCCTACCCCAGTTTATTAACATTCGAGAGTGCGCAGCAAAAGAAAAAACATGGTCATCTGGATGAATGCAACATTCATTCAGGATCTGGCAGTGCGGGGGAGGGTGAGGTGAGGCTGGGGTGGGCGGGTGAGGGTAGTTTAGGTTGGGTGTCTGCCCGAAGGCCCACTTGTGGCTTCCAGACGAGGGGATCATCACTTTGTTCTTAAAACCATTGTTCTTAGCATTAGTTTCCATTATGTGCTCTTCTTGTACACACATGCTATTTTTTTTCCTGTCAAATACCTGCAGATCACATGAACTAGAGACTGAGATGTTGGTTTTTGTTGTTTGTTTGTTCCACAGTGCTGACCTATCCATGGTGTGTCTCTGCCCACCGTGCATTGCATGCTGGGATGGATGCACTTATAATCTTATATTTGAGATCTGCTGGTTGAATGGCAAATGTTCTTCTCCACATTTTCGGCTTTTGACCATGAGGACACATGCGTGCCTGAGATTGAATGAAGAGGATCAACCCTAAAGTCAGCTTGCACTGACTTGAATGCCATCTTTTTGACAGTATTGTGTACATTGTATGTAAATGTTTTGTCTCGACTCTAAAGCACATCAAAAATAGTTTTTTTAAAAATAGGAATTCTTCGTCATCCACACAATGAAAGCTGCCGGTTTCAGCAGAAACCTCATTCAGCACATTCTGTATCAGGATGAATGCTATCCTTTCATTGCTACCCTTCTGTAAAAACAATCCATTCCAATAGTATGTTATAGTGTCTAAATTGCTGATGTTACTTTATAAGATATCAGCACAGACAAATAGTGCTGCAGCAGTCTTAATGTGATGGTTTGGGGCACATAAAGTTACCACCTTCCTGTAGCTGTGCCTGGCACAGATGAAAATAACCAGCTGTTCTCTCCGGCTTTTAACAAACACGGACAGCCAGTCTGCTTTAAATAATGTGAGCAGTCACTGGTGAGAGAGACATTATGCAAAGGAGAGTACGAGAGAAAGAGCCGATTGTAAAAATGTAGTACTTTTTTTTTTTTTTGAAACTGTGACACCTGTGACAGTATAATTATTTTTATCGTTGCACTGCCTCATTTACCACCTGACCGCATTGTTCAACTTGTCTTTGCATATCTGGCTTTGTTAGTCACCCTCAGTAAGAAAAAGAAAAAGCATCCTTCCATTTTCAGTGGCCTTTTGACAATCATCAGTTGGTGTTCTGTGAAAGTACTAAAATGTCTCCATTAATGAAAAGCTCAAAATATTCTGACTCAACTGGTGGTGATGGAAAGAAAAAAAGATTGCCTGAGACGGAGAGAGATTTGTCATATTAGAAGGCATGATGTTTTCTTGGCTGTAGTTTGGATTCACATCGCTGGACCGAAGTATCCATTTTGTCCTTTTGTGTGAAGAAGAAAATAAGAGTGCTTACAAAGATCTGCCGCTGCCGCTAAGCACAGATAGTCACTGAGCGCCTGAGGAGGATATTAAACAGGTTTCCTTATTTGGGAATCATTTATCTATCTGCAGTGTTGCCCCTTGGCTGTGTATTCTGTCCTATGGCTACGGCACCACAGTCACCCTTTGCAGTGATCTAACCGCTCGCAACTGCACAGAGAATGTATTAAGTGTTCCCCTCCTCGCTGGAAATATAAGCTGGAATATGACTCTCAAGATGAATGACATTGCACAGGCACCACTTAAGCAATAAAGTAGTTCCTAATTGCCGACTGAACCAGACCGGGAAAAAAAATCATTGTCTATTTTCTTTTGTAACCCAGGTTAATTAAAGGACATTTAATTAAAACGTGAAATGAACTCAATTGGACCAATAACTTGAAAATGATTTCATGAAAAAAAACAAATCCCTTTTACAGCCAGTGAAAGAGCAGGGAAGCCTTTTATCTTGTACACAATACTTTATCAAAGAGTCACATATAAAAACACACTTCTTTCAAGAGAACGCTTTAACTGATATTTTCACGACTTTGATTCTCCCGTTGGCTGCTCCTCCTGACTTTGACGCGTTAAAGTCCTCGACTACTAAGAACATCCGAGCAACAGAAATACACACCACGGCACACAGACCCTTAACTTTAAGATTAGAATGCAACACACACAATTCAAAAATATATCCTCTAATCCTGCAGTAGTTTGCTTCTTTTTTTTTTTTTTTTATCTTTTGTACAGTTAGAAAAAATACACAGTTAACTGAATTCGTCGGAGGAAATGCTTTAACAAAGTCTCAAGTGATTTTGCATCATGACAGCTTTGGATATGTCACTTCTCTATCATCGCTAACTGCGTCCGCAGTGTCCCGTGTGCAGTCAAGCATCAGCGGAGATCATGGTCGAGTCCGCGTGCCCTAAGTGGGGTGGGGCGTTGTGCCCTGTCGGCATCCTGAGGGTCATATATATACATGTAGACATCTCCAGGATCCGCCTCACCCTCCTGTCATGTGTGGTCACATGTTGTCACCTCGGGGAGGGGCGTCTGGTCCTGCATGACCACTTGAGGAGGGGTGGGGGCGGGGCGAGCGTGGGCCACCGAGTTCTTTTGCAGCTCCACCCCGAAGGCGGGAGAGGCGTTCTGCAACTGTCTCCTGTACTGAACGAAGCTGCAGGTCTTTAGGATGATGGCAAGGATGTTCTTGCCTATCAGGATCCCGGATACCCTGGCGTCCCGGTACAGAATCATGTTCCCCCCTCGGATGAAGAGAGTGATGACGTTGATGGTCACCATGCTGAGGAGGGGGTACAGGAGCATCTTGTGGGGCACAATGTTGATGCCCTGCATGCTGATCTCGCTCAGGGACACGCAGGGCAGCACGAGCAGCAGGATGTAGCAGTAGAAGAACATCAAGCCCTCCGCCCACAAGGGAAGCCCCTTCTTCTGAGGCTCCCACAGGTTGGCCTGGATGTCCAGTATGTCCAGCAAGTCCACCACCACCCAGAAGAGGCGGTTGCGGATCTCTTCACGCTTCTTGAAGGCGCGGACGTACTCCATGTGGTCGATGGCCACCAGCACCACAAACAGCAACGGGATGCAAACAGACAGCAGCAACGTCAAGGCTTTTCTGGCCAGAGCGTCCAGGCTCTTCCTGTCCGCCTTGTAGTTTTGATACACAAAGTAGACCTTGATCTCCAGCACAAAGATGTAAAGGAACCAGAGGATCATGGCGTAGCCTCGCTTGGACGTGCGCACCTCAGCACCCACCCACACCGCCACGTAACGCAGGACGATCAGGAAGCAGATGTCTCCCACCATCACCATGATGCAGATGCCAATCTTGCGCGGCCCGTGGTTCTGCTCCACGAGGTAGGCATCAATCAGTGCCATGCTGCTCATGATCAGGATGGTGGAGAGGCACACGTGGGGCTTGTTGGTGGGGGGTGGAGGTACCATCCTTGCCTGGGCGAGAAGAGGAGGAGGAGGAGTGTTGTTGAAGAAGGGAGTGAAAGCGGGTGCTCAGTTTGTCCAGCGAGGAGGCAGATCAGATAGTGCTGCTAGACAGCTGCGTTCCCCTCCATTGCTTCTGCCTTGGCCAGAGTCCAGCATGCATTAATAGGATTCACACAGAACACTTCAATCAATCTCCTGCGTGTGCCCAAACCACCTGCCAGGTAGACGGTACCACTCATTTAGTAAATTATGTCCATTGACAAATGGTCTGCAAACATACAGGTTTGTTATTGTGCAAATGAATTAATCTCAGGATGTGTCTACCTTTAACACCTTGACAAGCATTTATCAAACACAACACAGCAGTTTAATCAAGGAGTTGCCTTTTCTGTTATTAAAATAGAAAAAAAAAGAAGAAGAAAAAGCAGCCGCGATGCGTTCCCACTCCAGCTTCACCTCCTCTTTCGTACAAGCTTAAGCCTGCAGAGATAAAAAAAAAAAAAAAATCCAGCAGAATACTCACTTGTGTCCCTCTTTGTACTTTATCCTAATGACTGGCAGCGAGCGATCATCCATGAGACTGCACTGGGAAATCACAAAGCCCATCTGTAATCCACAGGAGAAGAGAGGAGAAAACGCATGGGATCCTCTCCTTCTCTGACAGACGTAAATCCACCAGTTATGGATATATTACTCTTTTTTTTTTTTCAAGCAAAAGAAAAATCCCAAAATATTGCCGTCATAATCCACTTACTGCTCAGACTGAATCAGGGGGAGGCATCTTAAAGACCGCTCTCAATTCCTGTAACTAAGAATAGAGGTTGTTCTGTGTTGTGCTTAGATAGAGGGTTTAAACCTCCAACTCCCCCAAAATGAGAAAGTTATTCTTACTGGAGAAATCTCTGCAGTAAGTCCTCCTTAAAAGATAATTTCCTCTCCAGAAGTTTTCCTCTTCATCATCCAGCATCCACGGACAAGAAAATGTAACATTTTGCATCTGTGCAAGTTTGTGTCTCAGCTGAAGAAGGGTTGTAGGTAATCTTTGAAGTGCTGCGTGCGTCTTACTGTCCGTCCCCAGTCTGCTGTGTGTGTGTGTGTGTGTGTGTGCAGGTTTCAGCTGCCTCCACGCTTGGTTGTCGCTGTAAAATGCTGCCCCCCCCGGCGAGATCCTGGCTGCTGCGCCGTTTTCTGTCTCCTGCTCAAGCAGCTTTTGCCAGGGACACCAGGATCAACAGCGCCAGTGGATTCCCCTGTCTCCGCTCAGCGAGCTCTGCCAACACCGCCGGTGCCGTGTTGCTCCAACGCCGCCCGCCTCCGTGCACTTCTCAGCCCTCTCCTGCGAAGTCAAGAAGAGAGAGAGACACTCCTCTGGCGCGTTCGGACTCACACTCCCGGGACAAGCTCTCTCTCTCTCGCAGGCAGCCACCCTCCTCTTCCTTCTCCCTCTTCTGCTCAAGTAAAGGCACTTGCTGTGTGGAGGTGACGCTCAGCAGACCACAGCTGCAGAGCGAGGCAGAGAGAAAAGAGGTAGAGAGAGAGAGAACAGTTTTCAAGGAGGAGGAGAGAGGGGGGGGGGGGGGGTGAAGACGAGCCAGCCTTTTTGCAGCTTAGCTGAATGCACAACTTCTCTCCATCACCCTGATTTTTTTTTTTTTTGTTCTCCCTCTCACCTCCCTCTCTTCTTTTCACATTGTGTCTTGTGCTGATATCCTATTTTCTCAGGCTGTTTCTTTTTTGGCTCCCCGAAAGAGCCCTGATTTCCTTCTTCTTTGAGGATCCCCTTTTCTTTTTTTCTTTTTTCTTTCCATCAGGTTTGAGGTGCAGAGATGAAAAGTGATCCAAAGAGGAAAGAGGAGGGGGGGATGCTCTCTAGCATAGGATGTAAAAAAAAATGTAAATATACAAAAAACGCTTCCCAGCAGGCTGTGTGTCTGCAGTCTGGGGAGACAAGGGAGAGGGGGGG